CGAAACTGCCAGACGCGGATCGCGATTTCGATCTTTTTGGATCTCATCAGCGCGTCGCAGGCAGCTCCGACAGAACACAGACCAACCTTTTCCTGCTGTCTTAACAGCGCGTTTTAGAAAAAAAAAAAATAATAATACGCCATTTGTAGTATTTTCTAAAACGCGCTGTTAAGACAGCAGGTAAAAGTTGATCTGTGTTCTGTCGGAGCTGCCTGCGAGGCGCTGATGAGATCCAAAAAAGTCGAAATCGCGATCCGCGTCTGGCAGTTTCGACAGAATACAGACCACTTCGAATTATATTGTTCCATAAGCAAAAAAAATCGAAACATCAACGCCTTGCAATTTTTTCTATAATACATTCCCTATGTCAAGAAATAAGAAAGTTTTTATTCCTTGATTATCCTCTTTGAAACATGAACGTTTATGAAACATGATGAAGATTTCGATCTATATTTGGGGAACTCTTTGAGCCCAAACTCTAATCATGGGTAACTTCGAGATCGATGATGAGATCATTCTCCGTCTCAAGTTGATGAATTTGTAACAATTTAATATGTACCTATAAGAAAGGCAAGGAGAGAAAAAAGATTGGGGATCATTCCTTTAATCGGCAGTGTATTTGATTTTGACTTCATCTTTCGTGTATTTTTATTATAATAACGAAAAGGGATAGTCTCTAATTTAATGAAAAATGTATCATATATAACAATATCGATAAAATAAACATAATCTGAATATTATTTTGCAATTCCAACTAGGTGCTACCCATAAAGTTTATAACCTGTTACTGGGATTATTAAGGGAAAAAATACTATATTTTTTCATTCAAGTAATACTTTTTTTGTGATAAATTCATCCCTGTTGAAAATATTCCAATCGCACCACGGAATTTTAACAATGAAAAATGACAAAACGGATCAAGTTACAGAATATAAATTTATAGATGTTCGCAGAACTTCTCACTCGCAATATTTTGTGCGCGTTTAATCAACGTGGCAGTGGAGTGGAAAGTATGCCTACCACGTTTCCGCCCGACCCAAAGAGTTATGGCTTAACATTAATTCAAACATAATAATAAATCTCACGTTCGTGGATCTGCTTTCCACAAATTAATCCTTTCGCCAATCCTGTTTGTGATTCTGGATGATACACATTTTAATTACATGCGTTTACAACATATTTAAAAACAGAAACCAAGACATTTTTCACCTTCCTCCGCGACGTGTCAGAAAGGATCTCATTTATCTTAAAGTTGTTGTCGAATTGTTTTTGGTTCGAATCAGTCATGCCGTCAACTGTCTTAAAGATGTTTGAGACGAAAATCCGTCTAAATATACCATAGATTTTAAACCATTAAGGACTCGATTTGATATTGAATTCCGTTCTTATTGCCTAGTCTCTGTTATCTTCCATAGTGCGTTAATCACAAAATTGTACAAAAGGATATTTTAAGGGATGTGTGGCAAAAGGTCATTAAAATGGCCGCGCCCGTTACACTCGTCAAAGCAGGCCCAAGTAGTCTGGCTGCACATGAGTGTCAAGGGTTAGTAGAAGGTGGCGATCCGATGGACCCAAGATGACGTAAAAGATGTGTAGTAGAAGGTAGAAGTTCATTATTATTCATTTTGTTTTCGTGGAAGTGGGAAAAACATCAAAAGTGTCAGATTCCCGAGGAAGAAGTCGTCGGACCTACCGACTAAAACCCCTCTACCTCAGGCCTTTCTAGGACCAATTAAGGTGTGAAAGCAACCTTGCTCGTTACACTCATCTTCCGGGCTTACCAAATAAAAGGGATTCGTCCTTCGAACATGATGTTGACGGGAGACCGAAGGGCTCCAGATGGGTAATCTTCTGGTCTGCCCGGTCGCTGGATACCAGTCCTGCTAAACCTGTTAGGAATTATATGGGTCTCGACTACACCGGAGGGTCCTAAGAGGTCTTACTCAGCTAGGAGAAACTAATAGTTGTTGCTTCTGTCATGTGTGGTGATTGAACGTATCTCAATCCCTCGTCCATGGGGACCATGATGGGAAAACATTGAAGTAGGATGCACCCCGTTAAGCGAAATAAATTGGAGGTAACTTCCTCCCCCCGCAAGCCCTAGCAGGAATGGGTATTACTAGCAATGATAGATAAATTAATAAGGGATTTAAAAGTTAAATATTTTTTATTTTTAAATGAGAATAATAGGACTTGATGTAAGTGAGCTTCGATCTAAGTAAAGGATGCATCCTTTTGTGAGAAAATGTAACATCCTGTAACCACGGGAATTGACTGTGTAATAATTATTTCATATCTTGCATTGAATAGAGTCAAAAAAGGGAGAATAAATATTAAGAAGAAGATGAAGTTGTTCTATTTGCATTCATCACGGTAATCTTGACAAAAAATTCACCATTCCAGCCGTTTTTGAAAGGAAAAAAATACAAAATAACATTAAAACAGTACGTTGTAGTAGGATTTCCAAGGAAAAGTCCAGACAAAAGCCTTTGTAAATCAAAGTTTCTTTTCTCTCCATTCGTTCGTCGGAAAGAAGTTGGCTCATTGTCTGTAAGACCCTTTTGAAGAAAATAAAATCGCAAAAGGAACTGTGCATTGTGCCCAAAAAAGTTTTATTACAAGTCCGTTAAATGAATTGGAGTGCGTGAAAGAATTCCAACAGGATAAATGAACTTTCGTCGCTTTCCGAAGGAGCTGCTGCAAAAAAAAAAACGAAAGGCAAAACGAAAAACGCGACGCTCTAACACCGGGAAAACCTTTTATTAATGATCCTTTAGAACTAATTTCCTTTTGCGACTGCTATCGGAGCCGCAAGAAAAATGTTCTTCGGAATGTAAATGTTACTGCGTTATATCAATTTACAGCTTTCGCCCCGAGTAAAATACGGGATCTTCTATTTTAAAGGAAAACGTCCGGATCGACAAGATTGATGCTAGGCACACTCCTTCTCCAGATCCGGATTACTTTTACACTGAAACTTCTACCTATTTACATCAACATAAAACTTAAAATTTGAAAACAACTTTCTAAATACTAGAGAAAAAAAAGTTAATTAATTACTTCAATAATAATGGTAATCATATTCTTCAGTAAATTGAGAAACTTGGAAATTGCAATTTTGTAGGGATAAAAAGAATCAAATGGGGTAATGTGGAATTAAAACTAAATAAAACACTAAATAAAACCTAAAGTTCCACAAAAAACCTTTCTTTTTTACGAAAATTTGGAATTTAGTGCTTTAGGTATCTATTGTAAGGAACTCAAAATGTATTTCTCATAATTTCACATTCCACATCTTCAGGGATATGCTTAAAAAATATTAAAATACATTTTGCCCCTTTCTCCTATTTTCAGAACAACCGAAACTAAAATTATCAGTTACCATTGGGTTCAATAAACATACTATAAATTGTGTGTTCTTTTATTTATTTGTTCATCATTCATACTTATTAATACATAAAATACTTTCTATTAAAATGTCTCTCTTTTTTTACAGAAAGTCCTTCCTAAAACTTCGAGGAAACCAATTTTTTCGAGAGGGTGTTGAGGAACCAACCTAATTCATGTAAGATATTATATTACATTTCTTCTAAGCATTACAATTAAAATTATAAAATAATCATCTAACCATAATCTAAATTAATGTTGTGCACCTCTTGTAAGTTAGGCTGTGGTTAGTCTAGGTTGTCGTAAATTGGTATTTAATAGAAAATAACTAAGAAGAAAATTTTCTGATAATAGAAATAATCAGAGTAATGTGGGTATTACTACACGTTTGGGGAAGACGCGGCTATTGAAAAAATTTTAGAGTCGCTAGGTTTTGGGTTAGAAGCGTTTCATAAGTGGTGTTATAAGCAGATGATGAAAATATCGTGGATAGAACGGGTTAGGAATCAGGAAGTAGGAGAACAAAGGACTGAATGGAAGCCAATAAGGAAAAGGGGAAATAGGATGGTTAAGCATCTTGTATGACATCAAGAGTTAGTTAGGGGCACTTTAAAAGCAGGAAGAAAAGTGAAGGAGCGCAGAGGTAGACCTAGATAAGATTACTGTTCTCAAATAGTTAGAGATGTGGTGGTTTTAGGGGAAGATTGACCTAGAATACGAAAGAGTGGATGTGCGTACCCAACCAGTGTTAGGACTGACGATCGTATGATATTGAAGTTTTAGCCATGATACTAAATTAGCTCCTAGAAAGCCTCTAATTTCGGCGTTTTCAAAATTCATTTTAGCAACTTTGTTGTGTGTTATGCAAACTTCATGACCATCCGGCGTAAATCCAAAAACCAAAACCCCAATGTACAACACGTACAAAACATTCACGTTTCGAACGTTTCATCCTCGATCACACGGGACATGGTCGGGGCTCTCTCTACGTAAGTCAATGATGCCGAACAAAATAACTGCGATCATAGGTATACCTATAGTTACTGAGAATTACTTACAAACATTAAAAGAGCTCCAAGCCCCTGTGATCGAGGACGAAATGTTAGCTACCTACCAACAAACTGACGTGCTTCAAAATCCAAAATCATGAATTTATAACTGCATAATAATTGAACGTATTTACTTCTGTAGATCTCCTATGCAAATATAAAGCAGACACATTGATACTCTTGTTTTCTTATTCTCTGGTGACTTTTGATAAATTCAAAGAAAACGAACATAATAATATAAAAAGTCTAAGAAACTGTTTGGTGAAATATTTTTGAGTTTTGTTCGGTTGAAATATTCTCGATTGGCAAGTGCAATTTACCGATAACGAGTGCAATAAAAGAGCTGTTTCGTACACATTCGGTATTCCCAGAACGTGGCAGAAAATCACAAGACCGTTCCAGCATATAGGGTTCGAAATTGACCGTTAAAAACTCAAACCGCTCCACTTTCTGCATCAATTCGTCTCTTTTCACCTGACTTAGTTTGAAATATAAGAAATTTATGAAAATTGCTTCATGTTGAAGAGTTGGTTCGCATGAAATGAATTGGAAAACTGTTCTTGGGAATATCCACATTGACGTGGTTGTACACTAGCAATAAGAAAATGCCGGGATATACATTGTGATGGGAGAATTTTTAACGTTTCAAAAAGAATCTCAGGTACAAAAGCATAACTTCTGTTAAATAGGTCCCGAAATATTTGAAGGACTACATAGTGACATTTATTTATTGGAAAATTTAAAAATCCAGTACTATGACACTTTCAGAAATGTCTTTCTTTCTATCAATAACTCTCAAACTGCGCGTCGTAGAAAAACGATTTCAGGCTTACTTCATTCCCTGATATCTCCAGAAAATTTTGATGGTACTTCCATGGTACAGAATCGCACCGTTCAATTCAAAATTATCAACGATACTGTGGACTCAGGAAAACGACTAAATAGAAATAAGGGAAAATAACATGAATTAGGTCGGCTGTAGCTCAGGTCCGGAATGGCTGGTTTCTAAAACTCTTCATGTTGAAAATTTGTTAGGTTCCTTGGGCTTCAAATGAGCCCTGGATGATGCGTATAAGACGTCGTATTGCTAAGCTATGTATTTTTTTTAATTGGATAGTTTGTAATAGCTGGAAAACTGGAGGTCTTTTCTCAAAACGTTTTTCACAGGCGGAAGTCTCGTCTCTACGTGAATGTCATAGATAGTTTGCTTGCATTTGGTGCTAATAAAAAGAGGAAAATCCAACTGCTGGTGAAAAAATTTTTGCGCTATCTTTAACGGTTCGCCTGATACGTTCTCCTAAATGTTTAAACCTCGATTTCAGTTATTATAACCACCCCCAAAACATTCGACAGCGTTAAATCTGATACGGTATATCGCACGGAGACGATTCTGGACTTTCTTTATTCTCAGGTGTCTCTAGAAAATATCAGTGGTAATCCCATCAGAACCGTACCGTTCAATTCAAAATTGTCGGCCATATTGTGAACTTAGGTAATCGACGAAATGAATATGAGGGCAAATAACGTGACTTGGGTTAGCTATAGCTCAGGTACAAACTGTCCGGTTTCAGAACTCTCTACATCAAAAATTTACCACGTCCCTTTGGCAGTGAACGAACCATATCTGGTGCGTCTAAGACGTCGCACTACGGGGCTATGTATTTTTAAGTACGGGCCTGCTCGTGAACTTTAACGGTTTGAGAAATATTCTTCTAAATGTTTAGTCTTTGGCTTCAACTTTAACACGTCGCCAAATTTAAAATTAAAATGCCGTCTTTGATGCGTCTGTAATAAACATAATTTTGGTATACTCCATTAGGTATTGCAATTGCAAAGGGATTTAGACTACTTCAAAACAAAAATGATAATTTTATTTATTTTTCCCCTTTAACCGCTATTTCAATACGTTTACAAAAAGAACAGTAAATTACTATTTTAGCAAGCATCTTTGTTTAAAGTACCATTTCTTCCCCTTTATTGTATAATAAAATATTCGGAGCCGATCAGGGGCGAAAAGTTTTATTACGACAAAACCTGTACCGACGTTTCGCCGCTGATTTAAGTCTTTTTCGCGGTTGCATTACATAGTGACAGTGTTAATATAAATGCCTAATTAATGTGACCTTATTAGGTTTTATTAAAGTCAAAATGTATTTCTTACGAACCGTTGAGGTGGGTGGTCATGAGTCCCCAAAAAAAAAACCTTAATATCACAAAACACATTTGTATAATTATAAGAATGAATATTACAAATACTTAAAAGTGTGTGAAGATAAAATAAATAAATAAATAAATAGTTTAGACAGAACAGGACATTTAAAAAACCTAGTAAGTTCCCATTAATTAGGAACTTAAATTAACACCGTCACTATGTATGACAGCCTCGATAAAGCCTTAAATTAGAGCCTCGAATTAGATTATTTTATTATCATTTTTTAAAATTTAAACCCTTTTTTGTTCTATTTTTTATTAACTTGATAATTGGGNTATACTTAATATATTTATTCTAATATTTATTTTAATCCCAGCCCCAGCTCTGTTGTATATTATCCATGTTTGCCCTTCGAGTTCTTGTAACAGCACTCGCTTCCCCTTTAGCTACACACTTTCTCCTTTGTTCCTTTTTTCCCTTTTTCATCAATTCCTTCTTTACTCTAGTTCTAATTTCCTCAGGGGCAATTGTAGTTGCACTAGACCTTATGCTAGCACTCTCAAAACGGTCGTCATTATAGTAACCAGAACTAGAAACTGAATCATATCTCTTATGCATTTTATAGTCTTCGTTTTTCTCTTTTAAACTTTCTTCATCTGCATTTCCTATTTCTAATTCTTCTGAATCTTTTTCTTTGTTGGGGCGTAATTTATTTGATATTTCATGTTGTTCTCCTTCAGGCTCTTTATTGCATTCTTCAAGAAAGGCCTTTCTATTATTTCCATCATCATCATCGTTTTCAGGCTGTACATCTGAATCACTATCAATTCCCAACTCTATATTAATATCTTTTGCCATTTCTTTTGTAAAACCTGAACATTCTATCTCTGCATCTAATTTATCAGACCTTTCAATGTCAGAAAATTTAGGGTATAATTCACTTTCAAAACCAAATCGTTTTTTGAAAAATTCTCTAATACATTTTACATCCCTGTGGAAGTACCTGCAAATAAATAATTTTATAATTTCAGGGCAAATTTAAAACATAATAAAGTTGCAAAAGAGAAAACAGTTTCTCACATTTCTGCGTTTGGATGTAGGACAGACACCATTTGTGGAAAGTCAATAATAATTGGTATCTCATCATCGGTGAGCATGATATTAAATTCATTAAAATCGCCATGAATAACACCAGAGTCAGCCAAGCGTACAATTAAATTCATAAGCTCGTCATACAACCCTTCAACATTTTTAACTTCCATTACATGAGTTCTATTATGGAAGAAAAGGCATTTAAGTATAACTTTTATTTCAAAATATATATAAGATTGTCTACTTACAAGGGTGTCCCAATTATAAGGTCCATAATAACACAGTGACGATTAAAATCAATTGGTCTGGGCACAGGGAAACATCTATCATATAAAGCTTTCATATAAGCAAATTCTTTTGTAGCAGATATACGTGATAGATAAATCCATGATGCTACCTTCCTGTGCTTGTGATAATCTCGCTTTTCCTTTATATTCCGAAAGCAAGTCCTCCCCAGCCTAAAAACTATTATTTACTGCACATATTTTTAACAAATAAACAAGGACACAAACCTGTGAAGCTTAAGACATATCTGATTACCTTCGGGATCTGCTACAACATATATGTTGCTCTCCTTACCAACACCTATTTGGTTTCCAAATGAACCTATTACGTTGCGTTTTGTGAGAGTTTTTAAAGCTAAATAATCGTAACCCATATTGGTCAACCTATACCCATCATCTGCAATAAGGATAAATATATAGAACACTGACCGAATACCACATTAATAATTTTACATTTTTTTCCGCGCTCATAACTTAATAGACGGTGTTTGCATAAATCGCGTAATAATTTATGAACACCTCCATGTTGCAAATTAGCAATAGAAGCCACCAAAGCACCTGGCACAAGTTCGTGGTTCTTCATGCCCATTTCGATCTAAAAAATTAATATAAATAGATCAAGTTATACGTATTGACAGTCACTCTTACAGCTGTAAGAACCCTAAAATCCTCTGGGGTGAGATATCTCATAAGAGATACGTTTAATTTACCCATTATAGTTAATTTGTTAGAAATTAAGTACGAAAAAACACAAGAAATGGCATGTGTATGCTAAGGTTATGTTGGCTGACTAGTAGTGAAGTTACGTAAACATCGAACTGTTTCTACATCTAAAACTTCTACTTCTGCTACTCTTACGTCGAGTAGTAAGAAACTCCTAAACTTAATAATTTAAATAATTTTATCGATTTTACTTAAAACAAAAAAAAAGGATCCTTATCAGCACGGCTGGTTTAAATATGAATTTATATAAACTTATTGAATCAATATCCTTGTAACTGTAATACATTAATGAAGTATTTTTAAATAATTAGTCCGTTAAAAAAAGAATGTGGCGGCTACCCTATGAACAATTAATTACATTTTGTATACAACTTTTTACTGCACCATGTATATTAGTTAATTTGTTCATTTTGCTTTTTGCTCGGGTGATTTTGATACGAAGAATGACCTTCTGCTCATATAGCACTGTTTTAGATATTAACGTAGTTATCGCATATTAGCAAAAAAGTTTACCAGCACATTATTCTTTACTTATTCCTACATAACTTTCATCGGTTGGAACTTTTAGAATAATTGCTTAACAGATCGAAAAACCAGTTGCGCTATTTTATGTTTGACATTTTACTTTTAAGGTAATTGTCGCGTTTTAACAATGAAACTTACTTTAATTTGAACTGCAGTCAAAAACCGTTTCCAGGACGGTTTTCCCCATGTTTTTATGTATCGCATTCACCTTTAACATCTTTCAAAATAATTGTTTATTAGGTCGAAATTTTAGTTGCGCTTTTCTATGTTTAACATTTCTACGTATTTTTCGCGTTTTAACAATGAAATTTGCTTAAATTTGCACTGTAGTCAAAAAACCTTTCCAGGACGGTTTTCCCCATGTTTTTATGTATCGCATTCACCTTTAACATCTTTCAAAACAATTGTTTATTAGATCGAAATTTTAGTTGCGCTTTTCTATGTTTAACATTTCTACGTATTTTTCTCGTTTTAACAATGAAATTTGCTTAAATTTGCACTGTAGTCAAAAACCGTTTCCAGGACGTTATTTCCCATATTTTTGTGTATTACATTCACCTTTAACATCTTTCAAAATAATTGTTTATTAGGTCGAAATTTTAGTTGCGCTTTTCTATGTTTAACATTTCTACGTATTTTTCGCGTTTTAACAATGAAATTTGCTTTAATATGCACTGCAGTCAAAAACCATTTCCAGGACGTTATTCCCCACATTTTTATGCATTACATTCACCCTTAACATCTTTCTAAATAGTTGTTTAACACATCGAAAATTCAGTTGCGCTTTTCTATGTTTAACATTTCTACGTATTTTTCGCGTTTTAACAATGAAATTTGNATTCCAAAAAATCTTGTGGTATTTTTCTATATTAAATACAATGAGCTTTCGTTCAAAATAATGAATTTTGTATATAAAAATGTTTAATTATTCGAGCGTACTATCTGCCTTCTTCTATCCGAATGCTCACTCTCTCTATCTGCACGGTTTAACAACTTTGATGCTCGTTGAATTCACAAACTTATTCATAGTTTGTTTTAAACAATGAAACGTAATTTCTGGTCAAATTAAACGTAGTTGCAGTTTTCTTTTCTGTACTGTTTAATGTTATGGAGAAAAAGGAATTTGCATATCTGGGTGTATTTTTTGGGTTTGTAATAAATGCCGAGAGAGGTGAGAGATTTTGAAAATTGTTTTAATTATTGGAGACTTTTTATTCCAAAAAATCTTGTGGTATTTTTCTATATTAAATACAATGAGCTTTCGTTTAAAATAATGAATTTTGTATATAAAAATGTTTAATTATTCGAGCGTACTATCTGCCTTCTTCTATCCGAATGCTCACTCTCTCTATCTGCACGGTATAACGACTCTGATGCTCGTTGAATTCACAAGCTAATTCATATGTAATTTGTTTCAAAAAATTAAACGTAATTTCTGGTCAAATTAAACGTACTTGGAGTTTTCTTATCTGTACTGTTTAATGTTATGGAGAAAAAGGAATTTGCATATCTGGGTGTATTTTTTGGGTTTGTAATAAATGCCGAGAGAGGTGAGAGATTTTGAAAATTGTTTTAATTATTGGAGACTTTGTATTCCAAAAAATCTTGTGGTATTTTTCTATATTCAATACAATGAGCTTTCGTTTAAAATAATGAATTTTATATATAAAAATGTTCAATTATTCGAGCGTACTATCTGCCTTCTTCTATCCGAATGCTGACTCTCTCTATCGGCACGGTATAACAACTCCGATGCTCGTTGAACTCACAAACTAATTCATATGTAATTTGTTTAAAAAAATTAAACGTAATTCCTGGTCAAATTATTCGTACTTGCAGTTTTCTTATCTGTATTGTTTAATGTTATGGAAACAGATAAATTTGCATATCTACGTGTATTTCTGGGGTATGTAATGAATGCCGTGAGTGGTGAGGATTTTAAAAGTTGTTTCATTTCTAGGACACTTTAATCCAGAAAAACATATAATATTTTTCTATTTCAAATACAATGAGCTTTCGTGTTAAATAATGAATTTTATATGTAGAAATGTTTAATTATTCGAGCGTACTACCTGCCTTCTTCTATCCGAATGCTCACTCTCTCTATCTGCACGGTATAACAACTCTGATGCTCGTTGAACTCACAAACTAATTCATATGTAATTTGTTTAAAAAAATTAAACGTAATTTCTGGTCAAATTAAACGTACTTGCAGTTTTCTTATCTGTATTGTTTAATGTTATGTGGAGAATAAGGAATTTGCATATGTGGGTGTATTTGTGGGGTATGTAATGAATCCCGAGAGAGGTGATCGATTTTGAAAATTGTTTCATTTCTAGGACACTTTTTATTCTAGAAAAACATGTGGCTAGAGATTGAGAATATTATAGATTTTAATTAATCTAGTGTAGCTGAGCTTTTTGTAGTAAAGCAATTCAAAAGATAAGGCAACATTCTTGGGCATATTGAACGTACTTATTGTCTTTAATGTTTAACGTTATAAACAATGCCTTAAATAGATTTTTCAATTATGTATCTTGGGCAATGAATGCCGGGAATAGTCGAAGAAAAATTAAGCTGTAATATTATGATTACATAACTGAAAGATTTAATATTTGGTGGCATTTTAAAAATTAATATCCTTTCTAAGCTAAAATTCGGTTCTTTTATACAGATAAAACGAGCTTTCGTCGGAAATATAAAGTATTGCCGAACTTATATTTCTAGATAACTTTGGCCCTTTAGNTATTTCTTGCCATGGCTTAGCTGCCTCCACGTCACCATAGGGTTTGCTGGCCGTCATCGGGATGGGTTGTACAATGGATAGTCCGCTTTAATTACTAAAAAAGGAAACATTTTGCATCAAGTTAAAGCTTAGTGTGGGAATTAGAAAGAAATTAAATATTTGCAGAAAGGTCTTAATGTAAAATCTGATTTAAAATAAACATAAAACTTAATACAAAGAAAAAGTGTAATTAAAAAGAGTTTTAGAATGAGTATAAAAGAAAATGCGAAGTACACATGCAGTTAAAGTATCATTATAAATAGAATTAAAGCTTTGAGAAAAAGTATTGTAAGAAAAAAAAAGAAAGTAATATAAGTGAATTAAAAGAAGCAAATGTTTGAGAATAAAATCCTGCAGTACAAACAGAAAACAATGATCAAGTCGAGCCTCTGAATGACGATCCAAGATGTTATAAGGTACTTCTAACTACTTGTCCCTTCCAACGTCAAGGAACACCTTCAGGTGGTTCGAAGGTGATCCTATCCGTGGAAGGGTGGTACTTGTACCACATCTTCCACAGATATGATCATCATCAAACCACTTGAAGGTGTTTCTATTTGCAAAGGTATAAGTCGAGCCTATGAATGACGATCCAAGATGTTATAAGGTACTTCTAACTACTTGGAAGACAGTCTCTAGCCATTGAAAGGTGGCAGTTACCACTTGGGAGGTATTCAATCCTGCTAAAAATGGTCCCGAGCGCGGACAGGGGACCCGTGTCCCCCACCGGCGTCGAATTACAAAAATGTTCAACGTAGGGATGCACCACTCAAAAAAATAAAAAATTGCCTTTTTACTATGTTTTATTTATTATTTTAAAAAAAACTACAATACACCCCCC